CCCCCCCCCCCCCCCCCCCCCCTTATAAGTTTTCTAATGGTCCGTCCCTTAAAACTGTCCCACAAGGAAATCAGTTTATTTTATATCCAAGCGGATGCATGGAGAATAGATCTCCTCAAGAAAAAGAAAACCGTTGCAGAGGTGAATAAACACATTTTCTTGACACAGGAAAACAGGAAGGTCCAGACCAACTGTCTTCTTTTAAGATCTTGTCTTGGTGCGAAATTGTAGAATTTTGCTCCTGGAACGCTAGCGTAACTGGCGCGTTCGGCTTGGCCCGATGCGGGTAACTGACAAACCGCTGTTTCCGTCATTTTTTGTTTCCGTTAAAGTTAACCTGGCTAAAACAAAATTCCATAAGAAGAATGGAAGAAAAAAGTCAAAACCATAAGCGATGTCTCAGTGAAAGTTCCAATAAATTAAGATTTTTAAATGCAAACGTGTGTTGGCTTTCAGCACCCTGTGGATTCCGAAAACATCTCTCCGGGACCAGGTGGCAGAGGGTATGGAGCATGGGCACGAGGCAGTAGTGGTGGTTCAGGAGCAGTAGGTGCTGGTGCTGGTCCATCAACTTCTGCTGTGGCTGCTTCTGCTACTGATACTGATAACAGACCTGCCAACAGGTAATATTCCTATCATATTCTCATGCGTAGCGTTTCAAAATCCAAAATTCTATTTTGTAAGATGCTGAAAGACAAGCTCTAGATCATTAATTATAATATATGTGTAATGTAACTTGTAATGTTGCAGATGAGAGGGCAACAATATGTGCCCTCTTTACATTATACTGGTAATAGTTGACTCTACAGCTGCCTTCGCTCTGTATATTGTCGGTCAATAGTATTCTTCCTCGTTGTGTAGCTCTTTGAAATATACCGATTCATAATGAAGATTCTCACACATATTTTATACAATAGTGAGATAAATACAGGAAACGCAAGGTTCCATGCACAGTTTCAGTTCGATTTACACAGCTTTGATCAAAACATTCTCAGTTTTGAGAACAGTATTCTAAACCATACGAAAAGATTTAAAAAGAAGTTGAATTTTTCGCTATTTCTCTTTCACTTTTTACATTCTGAGTTCATTTTATTTGCAGGAAAGTAAGCCTTAGAAATTAAGAGGATGTTTGATCAATTCACGCTCGCCCATTCTAGTCTTATTATAAAATTTATAGCGGAAGGACATCTGTGAGCAGGGAATAAGTCAGCAGAGAATTTGATTGTCGGCGCATTTCTGTAGTCGTCCAGCGTTCAGCTAGTGATAAGCTAGCCGTTGTTTACTCGTCTTGCTTGTTTGGGGTTGAGTCTTATTCCGGTCAAATAGAGAGAAAGAGTGTCTCGCAAGGTTTCCAGTCAAAGATTTGTGAACTCGTGTCTGGCAAACTCTCCAAGTGTTTATATATACACAGTTATAGGTACCTTATAACTTCATCTGCGCTTAACGAGTGTCTTTTGGTCCATAACTTTCAAAACAACCGCTCTACAGAATATCACTGATAACACGTAACGCAAAAGAGTACCGAAGTAAGACTGCACAATAAATGTCACAAAATCTAGCTAAGCGGTCCCGTCGGGATTTTCTGTCTTTACGTCATCCTAACCAATTCGTACTTGCGGGCGCAAACAATAGAAACGTCACCATTACCTACCGATTCCTCGAGGCCCCTGTTCAAGCAAATCGAGACTCTTTCTAGCATACCGACTGTATATTTCAGCTGTAAGTACTTTCCTTAATATACGCGCGAGTTACTAGAGTGCCTCCTCAGGATGTCGCCCTCTGGGCGAAATCCCTGCGGGGGCAATAATGAACATTATTATTCATTCAAAATATTTCCCCAATTCTGATTGGCTAAAAGCACACGCATAATTCACCATAACCAGTTACTGATGACCAAGTTTGGAAGAATTTTGTGTTTAACGAGGAAATGACGTCAAAAATGCAGCCTTCTACAGGTTAATGCACCATTAACCGAGAGGACCTGGGGACGAGATTGAGTTGTTTTCGTTGTAAAAACTAAAATGGCGGACACTTCACTCGTTTCAAGAGTAAGAACTACAGTTGGAACTAGGCGCAATAATGGCTAAAAACATAGCAAAAACAGCAAGAAGACAACTGGGAGGGCGACATCTGCTATTTGGAGAATATTTGCGGAGCTGGACAAACCTAAACGTAAACTATCGAAGATAAACTTAACATCGGTGCAGCTAAGCTTGTTTTAGCTATGTTTTTAAACTAGGAATTATTTTGAATGAATAATAAAACAATTATTGAATTCGGCTTTCGTATCATATGAAGAATTATGGAGATCTCGGGAGGTGTTATCCGTCGAGGCCGTAGGCCGAGGTGGATAACACCTCCCGAGATCTCCATAATTCTTCATAAGATACTCAGCCTCATTCAATAATTGTTAAATAAGCTTGGACATACAATGGCGCTACTGTTCTTCACCACTATCAGTCCATTTATGAGCATACTGTGTGATAAGTGAAGTGATAACAGAAGTAAAGTGTTGTTGATCAAAAGCTTGCTCATTACCCCTTGTCCAAATTTTGTCTTGGTCCATAAACACCTCCCCCCCTCCCCCCCAATATCTAGGACCAATAATAATAATAATAATAATAGACTTTATTTTTATAGCGTTTATATCATTAAATGTTCTAGGCGCTTTACAAAAAATGTATTAGAACTCTAAAAAATCTAACAACTACAATCCTGGACAAAAGTCCTTGGGACAGTATTGCTATATTCATATTTTTCTGTCATCTCACGGTTTCCTCTTAAAACAGTGCATCATTTTCGAAATTTTCTTGCAGTTCTCCCTCG